TTTTGGCCCATTTCCACTGTGCTTTTCAGGTACCGCCCCGAAAGAAGCCCTCTTTTCTGTCTCGGTCCGCCCAATATGTGTGAATGGGTTTATCGAAATGTGTAAAATTTAGAGGAGAGAGATTATACATGCATACACACAGAGAGAGAGGAGGGGCTTCAAAGAGTTTGTGGGAAAATCCCATTGCCTTGTAACCCCAATCTTTCCACGAACTTTTTGAAGCCCCCTTGGGAACATCATGAAAGGCTTCTGAAGCGTGCCCATGCCTCTCTTGCCTTTTGGTTTGTTGCCAGTTCCGTGTCCAATGGTGCGCAAAAGCCCTCCGATTTTAACTTGGGTTTTCCAACATGCCGATAAATACTTAAGCGAAAAGGCTGGTCTGCGCCCCAAATAAACACACTGCTGGAAGGGGGTGTCGTTTCACGGAGCTGATGGTCTTCGTGGCCCTGCCAGGGCGAACGCCACGTCGGATCTGTTTGGTTTGGATTGGTTCCGGGGTGCTGAGACAAACCTTGTGTTCATTCCTGCCGAAGAACTTTGGCGTTCCTGGTAAAAGAGATCAGTCGATTTCACAACCTTGGCCTCTGCTTTTTGCGGTTGCTGTGGTTACGCAACGCCTGGCAACCGCGTTTTGTGAAATTCTGTGGAAGTACGAGCCCGACAGGACAGAGCCACACAGGCGCTGAGCAACTGTCAGGAGCCACAGAGGCAGCACCGCAGGCTCAGGGCTCATGGCAGTCCTGAGGTGCATGTTGAATCCCAGAGACCAGAACTGTGTTGGTGTAGTGCGTTGCTAGCCATCGTTTCTTAACCACACCGGTTCATAGAATCCCAGCCTAGAAAGCTAAACTACTCCCAGCAGCCTTCCGTCATTCAGCTCTTTCAGCGGGCGTGGAGCAGGCGCTCCATGAGAAATGACTTTAGCACAGTCGTGTATGGCCCTGCCTTACATATCCGTCATGTCACACATGTTGTCTCCCTGGGGCTTTAATATCGGAGTTGTCTAGGGGGTAACAGTTCAAGTGTTTCCAAGGGAATGTCCAACGAACCTTTCATGGGGAGTCACCCAAACATAATGTTATGCATGTGGGGGGTCACCACCACATGAGGACCTGTATGAAAGGGTCGCAGCCCTAGGAAGGTGGAGAACCGCTGCTCTAGATCCTCAGAAGAGGTTTTCCCAAGGTGACCACAGGATAGTCCCTCTCCTTACAAGAGAAGAAGTCCAAGAGCGACAGCCGCTCCTGGGGACAAAGGAAGCAGAAGGGGTCCGTGGTTGTGCCTCAGGATTTTCCTCCTGCCAGGAATGATCTCTGGGCAACGCAAAAAGAAGCCCAGGTGGCACTGTGCCTAACGTGCCAGGCAGCTTGTTAGCAGCAAGCTTGGTGCTTCAAACCTACCAGCTACTGTGAAACTGCTCTCCTGGAAACCCTATCAGTTGGAATCAACTTGAGGGCAGTGGGTTGTGTTGTGTTGGGTCACGTGCAAGAGAGCCCTGGTGGCACGGTGGGCTGAGTGTTGGGTTGCTCACTGCCAGGTCCACTGTTCAAACTCATCCGCTGCTCTGGGATAGAAAGATCAGGCTATCTGCTCACAAAACAATGTTACAGTCTTGGAAACCCAATGAGCAGTTCTGCTTTGTAATACAGGCCCACTATACGTCAACGACAGTGGGCTTTTGTGGTTCGGAGAGTGTAAATGCTTAATATGTTTGATGACTATTAGAAAGGTTGGGGTGCGGGGGGGGGGGTGTTAAGCCCACCCAGAGAAGGCTTAGACGAAAACCCTGAAAATCAACTTCAGAACAACCAGCCATCGAACACCCTATGGAGCACAGTTCTCCTCAGAAATACACCACCAGTGGCCATGAGCTTGAATCAACTTGCCAGTGACTGGTTTGGTGGTTTATACGCATGACCCGGAGCCCCATGCGAATGGAGGGATCCCGGAGGTTCAGAAAGATGGGATTTGTGTGTTCGCTTGGCAGTCCATGGCCCTTTCAATATTCTCCAGCCCCACAGTTCAAGAGCATTGATTCTTCCTTGGTCTTTATGATTCAATGTCCAATTTTCACATGCATATGAGACACCTAAAAATACCATGGCTTGGGCCCGGTGTACTTTAATCCTCAAAGCAACAGCCTTGCTTCCCAGCACTTTAAAAAGGTCTTGTGCAGCAGATTTACCCAAGGCAATGAGTCAGTTGATCTCTTAACTGTTACTTCCTGCTACTTATAGCATCAAGTTCAGTTTATAGCCTCTGCAATATTTAGTATAAGTATGTATTTTTCCTCCTTGGAGATGGGAGACTTTGTAGCTGACAAGACACATGAAACTGCACTAGTTCCCTGAGCCGGAGGAGTCACAAGGAGACCCCTGCCAGTGCTGAGATGCTTACAACACCACTGGATCCAGAAGACTTCCAACCCACTGACCTGTGATCTCCATGCATTCGGCGTCATTGCATGTGTTTCATGAGTCTGAAGAGGACTTTATAGATTGGTATCAGACATATGGGCTAATATTGGACTTAAGGACTTGATCTGGACTGGGCTGGGACGTTTTCTCAATATTCAACTCCTCTTTTTATATAAACCTCCTTCTAATACACATGTGAGTATCAATGAATTTGTTTCTCCAGTGTACCCAGACTAACACAACGCTGTCCTGGGGCAGAGAGGGAAATCCAAAGAAAGAAGGATTCCTTGGGGTTGGCCTTGCTGTCCTGTGAGGAGGAGGTAGTTTTGTTTGGGACGAGAATGGCATAGCTGGGGATGGCTCTGAAGAGGAAGAAAGAAGGGGAAAAAATGAGTTCAAACATAGCAACAATTGTGCGGGCGACACGACTGGGTTTTGCTTCATTCTGCTGTCTGTAAGGTTGCCCTGGCATTACGCATGTTTTCTCATTTCTCATTTGTTTGTTTTGATTTGTTTTTTGCTAGTTTCTTTTCTCTCTCTCTCTCTCTTCAATCTTTTTGTTTTGCCTACCAATAGGAAGCAAGATGAGTTCATTTGGGTGCCATCATTTAGGGAGCTAATCTTTGTGTGTTCAAATGTACAGATGTGGTGCCCTTAGACACCACTGAATGTGCCTGCAAAGTTGTGGCGATTTTCAGAGGAGCTTCCAGACTAAGACAGACTAGAAAGAAAAGCTTGGCGCTCTACTTCCTAGACACAGGCCGCCACAGGCTGACCCACAGTGATCACACAGATGGCACAGAACTGGGCAGCATCTCGGCGCCTTCGTTGTGCACAGGCTCACCGTGAGTTGGGAGCTGTTTGCATGGCAGCTAACAAACAATTCTGGGCTTCTTCTTGTTCCGTAGGACAGCATCAAGCTTCCAGATGCGCTGGTGCTGGAGTATTTCGCACCACAGATAGGGCCCTGAAAACCCCGACAAGGAGTCTGTGTTCCTAGTGAACGCATTTGAAAACAGTGCTCTGTTTTGAAAAGGAAAATAAATCTGCATGTGATGCTGCCAGCTGTCACTCACTGGAGAAGCCAAGTTACCTTACCACGCCAGAGAGCGTTTCTAGATGGGGGTTCTCTTATGGGCCCGCTGAATAATCCTGCTTTTTAAATACAGCGTCCAATTCAGAAAGTTCATTGTGTTGTTAGAGATATTAGCAACCCACGTAGCCTCTATGATTCTCTACAATCCTTTGGGAAACAGAAAAACCATCATTACCCATAATTAATGTTTTCCTTACAATAATCCTTCAAAGAAAACCACCTTCTTTTTAATGAAAAATATTGGAGTATAAAGCACAGGAAGGCAGGAAAAAGAATTAGAAGCCCCAGATAAAGAATTTTAAGATCTCCTAAACCAAGTATAATTGTAATAGCAACTTAGATTTTCGGTAGGAGGTGGTGCTTAACTACCAGAAGATTTGATCCCAATAAAATACAAGTAGTACCTGACTTATGACGAGTTGTGTTTTGACGACTCTGTCCTAAATCAAATTGTCGTTGCCTTTTATTATCAAGAAGAAGCCCCATGGCACAGTGGGCCAAGTGCTGGGTTCTAAGGGAAAGGTCTGCAGTTTGAACCCACCCGCTGCTCCGTGGGAGAACAAGGAGACTGCCTGTTTCCATCAAGATTATCGCCTTATAGACCCGAAGGGTCAATTCTACTCCGTCCAGTAAGGCCCCTCTGAGTCAGAATTGACTCCGTGCCAGTGGGTTGGGCGCTGCCAGTATCTTTACAAGTCAGATCGCTCTTTGTCTTTGGGTGTTGAAATCTTGACACATACACTGACATCTCACCTACTCCCGTCGGGTTGATACCAACTCAGAGGCGCCCTAGGGGACAGGGTAGGTTGCCCCTGTGAGTTCCTGAGACTAACGCGTCACAAAAAGTAGAAAGCTCAGGCTTCCTCCCATGGAGCGGCTGGGGGTTTCCAACTGCTGACCTTGCCGTTGGCAGCCCAACCGCAACCACTATGCCACCTAATCTTGCAGAAGACATGCCTTCTGCTTCCTCTGCCCCAGCTCGTCTGCATGCTCGGACTAATTAGACCAGTGGTTCTCAACCTTCCCCAGGCCGCGACCCTTTCACACATACAGTTCCTCGGGTTGTGGTGACCCCAACCTTAGAATTATTTTCATTGCTCCTTCATAACTGTCATTTTGCTACTGTTATGAGTTGTCCTGTAAAGA